TCCACATTTTGCCACTTTTTCTTCAGTTAAATCCTCTGAAAACCTACAACCTATAGCTTCAGCTGTCCTCATAGCATTTCAATCTAACCCTGATAAGGTTTGCCTATCACCACTATTTTAAAATTTCACTGCAAGGTTTGGTGAAAAGTTGGCAGCCCTGACATTTTCAGACCGTTGTAAAGACGTTGAAAACTGGGTTTTTGCAATGTTTTTTCAACTTGGACTAAGATGGGACCGAATCAGACCAACCAAACAGCCCGATTTTCAACAATGATTTTTGGACTAAATCCAGACTATGAGGGACCGACCAGATTTAACCTAAAAACCAACTCTAAATGACGGATGGTGTTTGATCTTGAATCAAAATGACACAAAGACCAAACATTGCATCTAATCACAAATAATAATAGTTTTTAAAAAATAACTGAAAAAACAGAAGTTTAACCTCAGTTATATAGAACAGAAGAGGATTAGCCTGCCACTGAAAAAAAATTTAAAAAGTTAACCGATTTTTTTATTTTATTTCATTTTAATATGGGACAAAAGTCAGAATTCTGAGATTAAAGTCATAATTCTAAGAAAAAAGTCAGAATTCTGAGATTAAAGTTAATTCTGAGGGGAAAAAAGTCACAATTCTGAGAAAGGAGTCGGAATTCTGAGGAAAAAAGTCACAATTCTGAGATTAAAGCCAATTCTGAGAAAAAAAAGTCAGAATTCTGAAATTAAAGCCAGAATTCTGAAATTAAAGTCAGAATTCTGAGGAAAAACAAGTCAGAATTCCGACATTAAAGTCAGAATTCTCACTTTTTCCCATATTAAACTGAAATAAATCTAGAAAAATCAGTTAACTTCTTTTTTTTTTTCATTGGCCCTAATCCTCTTCTCTTACGTACTGTTTCACATCTGAGATTGTGAACAAATTTAAATTACATATTTGCCTACCATACTGTGATGGAGAACTCAGGAAGCGAGGAGCAGCAGCCCAAATAAGGACCTCCATCACTTAATGTCATACATGTATAGTCCATGCGTGCGTCCCCTGGAAAAACAAACAAACAAACAAATAAAATAATTGTGTTCATCTCATTAGGTTTACCTGCAATAGAGAACTACTGTACCTTTCAGTTCATTCTTCAAATCTAATTCGGGAAACGTGTAGACAAATATAGATGGATTGAGTTTTCTCTCAGAAAAAGCAAACACTCCGATTTTGCCGTTAGCAGTTAGCGCACCGACGCCTCTACCAGGACTCTGAAAAACACTGCGGCTTTTTGTCTCCAGGTTCAGGAAGCTTATGTGATTACCACACCTGTAGCACACCGTTCTGTCGTCCAAAAACTCCACGTTTTCTCCCGTAAATCCTTGGATCCAGCTGGTAAGGAGGGAGACATAGGAAAATAACGTTAGACACAGCGGTGAAACTAACTGTTTTCGTCCAACGAAACAAAGTTAATTACAATGATAAATATACTGACCTTATTTCTAAACTTCCAACTTCGTTCATTTTGATACAAGAATTGGATCAAAAATTAGATACTAGATCCTCTGAACAAAAACAAAACTAACTGCAAATGTAATGAACGCAAGCGTTTTGCTTGTTCGTAACCATGGCAACCACTAAACGTTCGAAAAGCCTTCCTGTTACCTTATTGGCTGGTTAGCGTCAGCTGGTTTTTGTTTGTTTTAAGTATATATATATATATATATATATGTATATATATATACATATA